GAGGCCAGCCTAGTCTACAGAGTGAGTTCCAGGACAGCCAGGGCTACCCAGAGAAACCCTGTCTCGAAAACAAAACAACAACAACAACAACAACAACAACAACAAAACCAAAATAAAAAACAAAATAAAATAAAAAAATAAAAATAGAAAGAAAAAATCCTAGGGTAGTAGTTAAAAATAGTGACTGATGTTTTTAGAGAACCTAGGTTCACTTTACAACACGAACATGGAAGGTCACAGGTGTCTATAACTTCAGTTCCAGAGCATTTGACACCCTTGTCTAGCCTCTGAGGACACCAGGCATGCTCCTGGTGCACAATCAAACACTTACTTATAAAGTAATAAAATAAATGGTAGTGTGTGTGAGAGAGAGAGAGACAGAGACAGAGACAGAGAGACAGAGACAAACAGACACAGATCCACCCCATAAAATGTTATCTAGATAAAAATCCCTTTTGATCTAATGGGAAGATGCTGCATCAGGTCATCAAACTGCCCTCTAGGAAGGAGACAAATAAGCTCCAATCTTAGGATCCTTTAATCTCCAAACAACAGTTAAGGAAAAATAGGCCATGAATTTGAAAGGGAGCAGGGAGTACGTGGGAGGTCTTGGAAGAAGGAAATGGAAGACTAAATGGTAATTTTCTATTATAATCTCAAAAAAGAAGAAAGCAAAAAAACAAAAAAACAAAAGAAATGCCTTGCAGTACTTTTGGGAATCTTTCTATGCTGTAACCACAGCGACACCTATCATCCAACAAAACTGTTGCTGAAATTGTATGAGAGTCTTGATATGAAAAGAAAGCTTTAAAAAAAAATTGAAAAAGTAGTGGAGTCCATGAAGAAAATAATTCATAATGATTAAAAAGAATTTTTATTTCAAAGATAAAACAATGTAAAATTGATGGAAGTTGGAGAGTTCAGTTCATGAATCTCTGATGAAACAGAAGAAACAGACATGATGGCACAGACCTTAGTGTCAGCACTTGGGAAGCAAAGAACATTTTTATTTGCTTACACTTCTACTTCCTTTTTGAGTCTTTAAATATTTATTCCATACATTTGATGCATGTTAGATAACAATATGGAACAGTATACCTAGTTCTTATAGTCTACCTTTCCAACAATTAGAGCCCTTTTTCGTAGAAAGAACAAAAAAGCATGTGGCCACCTGTAGCTATTGTGCAAGAAACAGCTGAATTTAAATAGATTTTACTAACATATACATTATACAGTTATTCATTTTAAAATGCTGTCATCCTTAAATCTTTTTTAGGTCCTGCTGAGGTTACAGTTCAAACAATGTAAACAGAGGCAGTATATTGTTTATGAATTTTCAAGTCTCCTTTCATCTGGCTGTTAAGGGAATGTTGTTTGGGGATAGGTCCAATCCGGTCAAATGTGGTGAACAAATATTTGCATGCTGACTTCATGAATTATATTTATTTCTAACAGGTATGGCTAGCTCACTAATTATACTCTTCATCTTTTGTTTTTACTGTATCTCTTGTTGTCCCCTTCCCTTCTCTAACCTGATTTTCCTATTTTTGCAGCATGTTACATTTTACCTGCAATGATTATCATTCTCTGGCTTATGTTAGCCAAGACCTGGGCTCTATCTTAAGAAGGGTGTGTAAACTGACAAGTAATAAAATGAATAGCCTTAACGAACAGTCCTTAAGGAATTTATGCGTATGTTAGCATGAAAGTATTATTTCAGTTCTTAGGAATGGTTCTGTAGATGGCCACCCTGATTACCAACTCACACAGCATCTCAATCTCTTCTTTTTTATTTTTGTTCTTGGGTTACAGAATTTGAGGATAGAGCATCTTCTGACAATCGTGCTTCTCTGTAGGAATAGGATGATCTTGCCTATGGGTGAATGATTCTCTCTAATAGTGTGGGAGCCATGCAGGAACTTGCCTGATGGAAAGGTAGTTGTGAGACTGATGTTTTCTACTTCATTTTCATATATAATCACTCTGCTCTGTAGTATTGCTAGCCAAGAGGTAAGAACTTAGCTGTAATCTTCTTAAATCTTCTAACAAACTCAGTTGAAATGTTATTCAATTTTGTTGTTTGTTTGTTTTTCGATTTTGCTTTTTCTGAGACAAGGTTTCTCTGTATATCAGTCCTGTAACTCACTTTGTAGACGGGACTGGAGTCAAACTCACATAGATCTGCCGGCCTCTGCCTCATGATTGTTGGGATTAAAGGTGTGATCTACTACTGCCTGGCTTGTTTTTAATTCCTTTGTCTCAGTCATACTCAAGTGCAATAGTTATCTATTCACTAGGGCCTTTTGGGGTTAACAAATGTATAATGCCATGACTAGGAAGCACAGTACTAGTTTTGAGGCTGTCAAGTCTACATAGCAAATTCCAGGCCAGTGAGAAGTCTAAGGAAAAACAAAAGCAAAAAACAAAACAAAAAAAAAAAAACAAAAAAACCCACCAACCCTTCAAAACAACAGGAAAGGTTTTATTATGAAGCCCAGGCTTGCAAAGTGCCCTCTCTGTCTGATTTTTAACACTGCATAATTCCTGCAAGGTAAATCCCAACCCAACTAGGACAGATCCTGTCTCAAAATCTCCTCAACTTGGGAAAACAAAACAGCCCCCTCCTTCCCGCCCAACCTCTACCTCAACACCCTCTATCCTGCCCTCCCTAAAAAAATAAACCCCCAAACAAATGAACAAAAACAGGCATAGTGATTATGGCTTATTCTGAGTTTTAAGCCAGTTAGTGCTACAAAGGAATTTCCAAGCACACCTGTGGAAGATTAAGAACAAGCCTGAGAAAAGCAAGGACAAAATTCACCTCCAACAGAGCTGAGCTACATTCCTACATTCCTAGGTCAACTCTATTGTCTTTTTATTTTCCCCTAAGTAGTCTCTCAACGTGAATCTTTTGCATTTCCATAATGACTAACAAAAGCATCTATTTCTTAGTTATATGTAAATACATTTCTTCACTTGTTTTCAAAAGTTCATGTTATTGGTTAAATTTAGAACTATTTCCATTGAAGTTGAATATAGGATGTTTGGGAACTGGATGCTCAGTAGGGGAGAAGGGAAGGAGAAAACAAATCTGTAATACCCATTAGAATACCTCATTAACAGTTCTTGGAGGCAGTCAATAAAAAAGCGTAAAGTTATGCTAAACCCTTTCTGTTCCTCATCTACAAATGCCTGCATATTAAGTTAACACCAAAACAATGCTTTTACCTGGGCAGACAGGAAATTAACAGGTCAAAAGTTACAGAAACAAATGCTTGTATTGGTATCCACAATCTACATAATGGTTTTGAGACAGTCACACATTGAATTCAAACTGGTCTTGAGTATGCAAAAAATACTGCTTCCTTAGAATAAGCTTCCTCAGAGCTGGAATTACTGGATTGGATTACTATGTGATTATATATTTGTAAGTAAATAGTGTCTACTTTCTACCTCCCCCAGCCATTATTCAATATTATTAATAGTTCAAATGTAACAAAATTTAGGAGGCAGGGAATTTCTCATATGTTTCTATTTTACATAGGGCCACTTTGCTGGTGGCTTACACTTTTAATCCCAGGACTGGGGAGGCAGAGGTAAGTGAGTCTCTTGAATTCATCATCAGTTTGGTTAAAAAAGGAAAATTCCAGGAGAGCCAGAGCTACACAGTTAAACCATGTCTCCAAAATCAACAACAATAAAAGAAGAGGTTTCATAACTGAATGCTCTTTCTATTAAAATTTAATTGCACCATGATTTGGCAGAAACACTTTTCTCCCCAGTCATACGTTCTTACACAGAGGAAGAAAATACAAATACCACTACATTAAAAGAATGTAGAATTGGGAGTCAGGATAACTTTCTTCTGTACGGAATTTTAAGCACTTGACAATTTGGCTGGGCTTCATGTTTATTTTTCCTTTGCAAATCATTTTTTTTTGTGACATGCTACATAGCATGATACAGTCTTCATAATATTAGAGATCAAATCTTTCTCTCCCTTCCCATAAAGCAAATATCTGTGTATTTTAAAATCATGTTTAGATCAATGGTGATTGCAACCACTTCGGAATTATTTTAATTATTTTTAAATGTATTTATAAATAGTTAATTGTATCTATTAGCTCAGATTGATAGTTATTTTTGAAAATACATGCACAAATTTCCATAGTAGGAATGCTTAAAACCAGGTTGCTGCCTTTTGACAGTACTTTGCGGTCAGAGGGACACTGACCGCTGCATTGCGGCAAAAAATGTGCGCATGTGCAGGCTTTGCCTAGGACGCATGCGTAGGGAACAGCGTGATAAACCTGAGCCATTGCGGCAAGTCTGGCGCAGAAAGGAGAGGGAGCTGGAGATGCCAGACGCTTGGTTCTGAGGAGTGACTTGCAACGCAATGGAGCGAGGAAGGTCAGTTGGTCAAATGGCTTCTTCTAGTAGTGAAAGGTTCGTGAGGTTTTTGACGACCCAGATACTTTTAATTTTGAGAATCAGAGAGCAATCCATTGGAGCTGAAAGACGGACTCCTTGGGCATCTGGGTGTCACACATTGCCTTTATTATGGTGGTCTGAGGTTGTGACTTTGGAATCCAGGACGTAGGAGCTGTGTTGCCGCAGCATGTGGGCTCCGGGATGTGGAAGGTCTTTTGTCGCGCGGCCTCTGGACCCCTGGAAGTCGGAGCTGTGTTGTGGCGACCTGTAGATTCGGGGATTTTAGAACTGTTACTGTGGCTTGTGGGATCCAGTCGGCTAGAGCTCTATTGCCGCAGCCCGTGGGCTCTGGGAGTGGGGGTGGGTAGGAGCTATGGTGCTGTGCCGCTGCTGGCGACCTGTAGATTTGGGGATTTTGGAACTGTTACTGCGCGGCCTGTGGGCTGCGGGGATGGGGGTGGGGTAGGAGCTCTGTTGCCGCAGCCTGTGTGCTTTTGGGCGTGGGAATTGGGCTGCCGCAGCCTCTGTGCTGGGGGGTGGGGTGGGATCTCCATCTGAGGTGGAAGGAGCCGGAGCTTGGTTGCCACGGCCTGTGGGATACAGAGCGTGGGAACACTGTTGCCTCAACCTGTGGGCTATGGGGGTTGGGTGCTCTGTTGCCGCAGCTGTGAGCTTGGGGTGGGGGGGGGAGCGGGCACTCTGTTGCCGCAGCCTGTGGGCTATGGGGGCTGGGAGCTTTGTTGCCGCAGGCCATGAGTTACAGGGAGGTGTGAGCTCTGTTGCCGCGGCCTGTGCTCTTGGGGTGCTGAGAGTGTGTTGTGTTTCTGCAGGCTTGGTTGGGGAAGCTCGGGCTCTGTTGCAGTGGCCTGTGAGCTATGGGGGCTGGGAGCTTTGTTGCTGCAGCCCGTGAGTTATGGGGGTGAGAGCTGTGTTGCCGCGGCCTGTGCTCTGCGGGTGCTGGGAGTGTGTGTTGTGTTTCTACAGGCTTGGTTGGGGAAGCTGGAGCTCTGTTGCCGCAGCCTGTGGGCTATGGGGGTTGGGATCCCTGTTGCCACAGCCTATGAGCCCCGGGTTGTGGGAGCGGGAGCCTTGTGTTGCCGTGGCCTCTAGGCTCCTGTTTGGGGAAGCTCTGTTGCGGCTTTGGGCGGGGGTGGGTGGGTTGTGGGAGCTCTGTTGCTGTTTCATGTGGCTTCAAGAATGTCGAGCTCTAAAATGGTGGCACGGCTGCTTTGTTTGAAGCTAAGCGCAATTGGAGGCTTGTGGGTGATTTGTAACCTCTGTAACCAGTTCAAGGTCATGTGGTTGTGCTGCTAGAAGATAACTCATAATGGTGTGTCCAGGTTGCAGGTGGCCAGAATGCTTCTGAATCACTGTGGTATGGGATCTTGGAACGCTGAGAGTGGATGGAGGTACAAATTCTGGTAGAACTGAGGCAGTAGGGTGTGTCATTTTTAGCCCTGCAATGCAGTGTGAGTCGACTTCCGGCTCTTCAAGGGTGGGGTCTATAGAGGTACATGTACGGAGTATACCAATGTTGGAGGGGGGGGGATGTCGTTGAGAAAGAACCTGTGGGGGATGCCCTGACCTCAGTTTAAGACATTTTTCTTGTGATCTTCTCTTCTAATCAGGTAGTATATTTTGTTCATGTTCCCTTTTGTACAATTGTTCCCTGCTTACAAGATAGGGCTGAAAGCCTCAGTGTTCCATTTTGTTTATTTTGTCACTTTCAACCACCCTTCACAGTGGAGATTACTGTATAAACTCTGTGCCATACTTGCTTTTACCCACTCGGTAGAGGTAATAAGACAGTGTATTTTTTTATTTTATTTTTTTTCCATGGCGTCCTGAATTTTATCGTTCAAAGTCATCCTGGTATTTCAAGGTGTCATCTCCTATGTCAAACTGCATTGTGAGGATCTGTAAAGATGGCCGCTGCTGCAGAGGTGCTGAAGTGCGCAGGCGCAGCATGGCGTATATGAGCAATAGACCCCCCCTTCCCCCATTATGCGACAAATCGAAGGAGGCTAACAGCACTTGTCAGTTCTGCGGTGTTGGAATATTAGCCACACCCTCTCTTAAGGACCATGAGAACTGAGCTTACTGAGAACTGGTTCACTCGCTACAGGATCCAGATGCAGTAGAAGTGACACCTACCTCTCCATTCATTGTCAAAAGGGAATTAGCAGAGGAATTGTGTAGTATTGGCATCAAGGGGATGACAACCATTTCCTTAACCTGGTGCTATAGCTGCATATCTTTACCCTTCGTTTTTTGCAGTGACGCAGTAGGGAGACTTGTTTGCGCATGCTCCTTTTCACAGGCTTGGTCCTATCTTCCCACATCTTTGATAATGGAAGGGGTTTGTGTTGGGGGGGGAGGGGTTGAATTTTTCCATGACGTCTGTCTGCTATTGGAAGATGGGGTTGGAGGAGAAAGAATATAGAGGTTAGAGGTATGTGCGACTTGTTCCTATGTGACAGAGCAGGTGATTCCCTATTATGGGTGGGTGAGAATTTAGAATAATTTAGAATAACAATATAGCCAGGTCAGGACCTATTGATGATGCTTAAGATTATATTTTAATGTATGTTTTTAAAATTATTCTCTCTGTGGCAGCTAAAAATATAAGTTGTAATTTCTTAAGGAGAAGACAAAAATTAAAAAAAAACAGGGTTGTGAATGCTTGATGTATGACTTTTTGCAATTTTTGAAATAGAAACTACTCTAAATTTGAAATAATACTGAACAAAATAACTGTAATTTATGCTTCTTTATCAAAGACACAAATTTAAAACAGGATTCTGACATAATTTGCTTTAATGTCAGACATGGTATGTATCTCATTCTCACTGGAGCTGGTGATCCGCTCCACCTTCACTTCTCCCTTATCTTGACCTTGAAACCATAGGTGTGACATACTCCTGTGTGGACTTTATAATTTCAACATTTTTTCATGTTTTTTTTATGTGATTGCTTTTGAAAAAAATATCTTGTTTTCTTTCACATTTATGGGTAGGTAGTATTTATGGTTGTCGTATGTTGTAAACATTAAAAATGGTAAATGTTAGACGATAAATATTGTTTTGGAAGTTTATATTTCTGACATGACAGTCTGATCTTCTAGCCAAGGTTAACTTTAAACTTGTAATCTTCACAATGCAGTTGTTAGACTTCAAAAACATGCCTTTGAAATATTGTATATATGTTAGACTTTAGACTCTAGTAGCATAATATTTCAAATAATCTTTTGCCTCAGCTACTATTAGTGAGTTATTATTACCCACCATTTTTTAATTAGTTGAATCAGATCATTTGCCTTTTCTTTATTTTATTTTTTGAGACAGGATTTCTCTGTGTAGCCCTGAGCCATCTCTCCAGACACAGATCTTAATATATTTTTAAGTATAAAATATTTTTGTATTTTTGTATTTTGTATTTATTTTGTATATCTCATTTTGATCACTCCATTGTTTGACACAGGCTTCATATGTTAGACTTGGTTGGCTTACAACTTGTATATGTAGAACAGACTGTTGGTTTTTGTTGTTGTTGTTCATTAGATTGTTGTTTTTGTTTTTTTGAGAAGGTATGGAATGTGGAACAGTGAGGGGTGGAATAAAATCTGGAGTATTAATAAATAAATAAATAAATAAATAAATAAATAAATGACGAAAAAGAGCAGACTGGTTTTGAACTTAGAAAGATCTGCCTTATTTTGCCTTTGTTCCTGCTTTTGCCTTTAAGTACTAGAAATAGGCACACTTTGTTATAATTTTACCTGCTTTGAGTTTTATTATGAGTACCTTTTAATATCCACTATTCTAAGTGAAGGCTTTATTTTTTCCTTCAAACTTTTATTTTGTTTTTATTGTGTGTTTGTTGTGGTAGGAAGAGGAAGTGTCCATGTATGGCAGATCTAGAAGTAAACATAATTCTCCACCTTTTCAAGGGTCCAGGGATCAGTTTCAGATTGTCTGGTTTGTATTCATGGAGGGCAATCTTAGCCTACTGAACCATTTTATCAATCCTATATTTATGTTTCAATGTAAGTACTCATTTAGCCTAGACTGATCCCAAATTTGTTAGGTAGCTCAGTGTATCCTTGAACTTTTAATTTAGGGTACCCTGTCTTTATCTTAGCAGTGCTGAGATTAAAGGTATGTACTACAACCTCTTATTTACACAGAGCTGGTAATTGAGCTCAGGGCTTCCTGCTTCCTAGACAAGATCTCTTAAATTTTCATAATGCATTTAAATAATTTTTTATCAATTAATGAATTTGTTAATTTTTTTCTCTTTCAGGGATCGCTTACACTTGAGAAGAACTACTGAACAGCACGTGCCAGAGGTCGAGGTCCAGGTCAAACGTAGAAGGACAGCCTCACTGAACAACCGAGAGTATGTGAATTCTGAGTTAAGAACCAAATAACAGAAAAGTATCATACAAAAAAGAGATTACAATGACATTAATTGAATATCTAAAATAAAAGACGTGACAAAATAATTAAATTCTTAATTTTGTTATTTTAACATAAGTCAGCTTTTATCATTTCAGCCATGCCTGGTTGAAATATTTACCTGCCTCCACCTTAGGAGTGCTAGAATTAAAAGCATGCACCAACACACCTGACTTCTTATATGCTATTTAGTATAATGTGACTTTTTCCTAACATTTCAATTACATGAATGTTGCTTCCTTCATCTTTCCCATTTATTTTGTGGTACTTGAATTAAACTTAAAGCTTCATACATTTTATCAAAGTATTCTATTTTTATTTTTGCATGTGTAAGGGATTTTTACCGTTAGAATTATTTATTCACAGTATGAATATCTATGTTATGCTATTCATTTTGCATTCTTGTAGATGCTTTTCCTGCATTGGTGGGACATTAATGTACACATTTGGTCCTTACTTATAATGAAGCTTATTATTAGTTTTGAGATGGATATCCAATGCTGACCTTGATTTTTTATCACAAATCAGAGTATCCTCTTGACACTTGAAACTTCTCCACATCCCAAGTGCTGGTATTGCGTATGTGCACTACCATGCCTGGCTATAGTTAGATTCATTGAATATTATATCTTAGCTAAAAATTAAAAAAAAATATTTTCATCAATTCTTTCAATATACATATGTACACACATAAATGAATCTTGATCTTTAACTTAAACATCTTTAAAATATACTGATTACTGATGTATAAACCAATTTATTGAGTCTCAAAACTATTATAAGCTCATTCTCCTTTTTTTCTTTTTTTCTTTTTTTTTTGGTTTCTCGAGACAGGGTTTCTCTGTGTAGCCCGGGCTTTCCTGGAACTCACTCTGTAGACCAGGCTGGCCTCGAACTCAGAGATCCGCCTGTCTCTGCCTCCCAAGTGCTGGGATTAAAGGTGTGTGCCACCCCCGCCAGGCCTCCTTTTTTTCCTAGAGATAATCTCAAATTGTTCTCATTTCAGGGCCTTTTCATGGCATTCACATTTGTGTTTGTAAGGGTGTATAAGGAGAAAAATTTTGGTTCTCCATATCTTTCTTTGCTACCTTTACATTGGTACATTTGTATAATGACTTTATTTTATAGAATGCACAGTATGAGTGCTTTAACAGTAGTTATTTCTTACTAGACTACTTGACATTTGCTTATGCATTTTGGAGCAGACATTGCAGCTATTTATTATTGTTTGTTTCACATCCTTTATACTAAAGGACATTTTTTTCCCCAAAATTGTAGACAATAGGCAAAATCTTGTGCCACACACACAGTACTAAAATAGTTTAATACAAGCCGGGCGGTGGTTGCGCATGCCTTTAATCCCAGCACTTGGGAGGCAGAGGTAGGTGGATTTCTGAGTTCGAGGCCAGCCTGGTCTACAGAGTGAGTTCCAGGACAGCCCGGGCTACACAGAGAAACCCTGTCTTGAAAAACCAAAAAAAAAAAAAAGTTTAATACACTAAAGATAATAAAATATCATATATGATATTTATATATATTATATATATTATTTATATAATACTCCTTCCAAAGCAATCTTAAAAATAAAATACAGTTAAAAGACATGATTAAAATGATATATTAAGACAGGATCTCACTATGTAGCTCTGTCTGTCCTGGAACTCATTATATAGACCAGACTGGACTCAGACTCACTGATAGCCTCCTGCTTCTGGGATTAAAGGCGAGTACCACTCTACCTCGGTAAGAATGATTTCTAAAACTAGGAGAATTGACGCCCACAAGTTGTGTATAAACTTTCAACAACCATCTTGCTAGTGAGGAAGGATCCCTTGAGTTTTTCTCATTTGAGGAGTAAGGTATTAGATGGGCCTTGAACTGGTAATCAAAGCAATTTTGCCTTAGCTACATCAGAATCATAGATTATATGTTACTAGAATGCAACTCTCTTGGTATTTGTTTGCTCATTTCTTCCTTCTGATTTTTTTCCTGTCTTTTGGAGGTTTCACCAGTTATCCCTGGCTGTATTAAAATTCACTCTGTAGACCAGATTACTTCAAACTTATGGCAATCCAATTGTCTCTGCCTTCTGAGTACTTGCATTATAGTTTGGTGAAAGGAAATGGCTATTGTGTTTTTCTAAAATTTTATTCTATAGAGCAATAACATACATGACTAAATAAAATCTCTTCATTTGTTGCAATGAGCTTGGCTTTTCTTAGGTGTCAAATATATGGTCATATTTTTTTAAAGGTTTATTTTCTTAAGTGCTAAATCATTTGTCTAACCCATCATTATTTTAATATGTGTGTGTGTGTGTGTTTGTGAGTGAGTGTATGTGGTTGTGTGTGCATGATTGTTTGTGTATGTATATACTTTGAAAGCACTGACAAGCTAAGAGCACTGACAGCTCTTGCAAAGGTCCAGAGTTCAATTCAGAGCAACCATGTGGTGTCTCAAAACCATTTATAATGGGATCTGATGCCCTCTTCCTGGTGTATCTTAAGAGACCAATAATGTACTCACATATATAAAATGCATAAATCTTAGAAAAGAAAAAGTTTTTTGTTGCAGCAGAAGCTGGCCTTTTACTAATTCTATTGTATCTACAGTCTAGGTGCTGAGATTACTAATTTGTGACATTTTAATGCCTGTTTATTTTGATAATGCTTTTTTGATACAGCTTCCCCCCCACTTTTCTCTCTTTTGTTTCTTTTTCTTTTTCTTGGGGGTGAGATGCAGTGTTCCTGACATTGTTTCACCATGTAGCTCTGTCTTGAAACTAGCTCTGTAGACCAGTCTATTCTTGAACTCATAGAGATCTGCCTGCATCTGCCTCCCAAGTGCTGGCATTCAGGGCATGTGCCACGAGCCACCAGTAGAGTGTTATTATCTAATTTAATGTAGTTTGTAGCTCTTTATATAACTGTAAATTACCATGAACTTGTGCCAATCTATTTGTCTATCCTTCCTGTATATTAGAATTACAGGCATATATGACCAAGCTGAGCACTTTGATGTCAAGGAAGACAAAAATCGCTTTCCTCAGATCTCTTTATTATGTTTACATGCTACCTGGTGGGATGGAGAATGAAAGTTAATTAGAAATGGTCTAATTTTCCCTTTTGCCTCTCTTCCTATTGAGTATAAGTGTTTTAGGTAGTGTCTGGTAGAAATCCCCTCATTAATGATTTGTAAATCATTTAAACCCTTGCCTATCACAGATTTGAAATTATTGTTTTCATATAATGTAACTGGAAAATCTGGTATTGATCATTTCTATAATGAGGACTCTTGGATTTTTAGTTATTACGATACATCCCTGTAGTGAACAGATATCTAGTAGTTGTTTATTCATTCTTGTTGGCAGAAATTCCTGTTTGGTCTCTATACTACCAAATTGTTTAGTGTTATGTTCATACCTAAATGACAATATTTTAAACCATGTTAGACTTTTTAAAAGGAGGCTCTTTTAGAGTAAAGGTGCTTATATTTTCCTGTTGATTGCTATCTACATAGATACATGTCTTCCATCATTTAAAAATATTGTATTCTTGCTGTAGGTGTCAGTTGTACCCTCGACGTTCTCAGCAACAGCACGTTCCTGTGGTGGATTTCCAGGCAGAACTGAGACAGGCATTCTTAGCTGAGACACCAAGAGGTGGTTAAAGCAGTATTGGAACTTCAAATTGGTGGAAGTCAAGGAAAACAGGTTAGATTTAATTCTAAAATTAAGAAAAAAAAGTAAAAAGAAAGAGTAAGGTATCTAGAGTTTAATTGATACAATTACTTTTTTAAAAAAGATATATGTAACCCAGCATGAGGCACACACAAATTTTGTAAAATATATTAAATAACATTGAGACCTATATAGTTATGATCTTAATGCATCTGCCCTTTCCTGTCGTGTTTCCATATCCTATATTGGAATGCATTAAGGAAATTTCATTTTCATTGATTCTTTTTTTTCTACTTTACAAAAAATGCATTCATTAGTGAATTTATATAATTACCACTTGTGAGATTATTTTTTCTGTTATTATTTTACATAGTATTGTATGAGCTTTTATTACTTTCAAGAAATTGTTCTGTTTATGAATATACTGAAATAGTTATTTTAATTATAATTCAGTAGGTATGATATTCTACAGAAGGTATTAAACCATAATTATTTTTAAATCAGCATATCATGTAATAAAAATACCACCTATAATGTTATTATAACACTTATTGATTTAGATTTACTTTATATTATATTTTACAATGTAGTGCTTTTTTTTTACAGTGTAGTGGTTTTCTTTTGCCAATCTGTTTCTTTTACACCAATTAATTTATTTAATTGAGACATATTATGTGTATTTAATTGAGAAATATTATGTGTATGGTGTGATACCTGTATGTCTGTCCACTGTGGACATTCAGTACTCACAGAGTTCAAGGCTTTCTTGGACATGCTGTGAAATAATTTTAACAGATGTCTGTCATTTATAAATATTGCTCTTGCTATAGGTGTCACTGGTACCCAAGATGATCTCAACAACAGCATGGCAGTTTGAATTTATGTAGTGAGTTACAAAACACTGCAAAATGAGACTCTGTTTCACATTTTGGCCAAGAAAGCCTGGATTTCTTATCTTTCTGCTTCTATGACTTAAATGTTGAAATTATATATGTATACTACTATACCAGTGTAATTTTTTTACAGGTTCAATGTTTTTATTCAGGCAGGATCTCATTATATGATCTTGGCTGACCTCTAATTTAATGTAAGGAGGGAGCCTCATAAGTCCACCCCACCCATGTTGGGCTATTGATTGGCTAAGTTTTGTGGAGGTATCCATGCTCGCTTACTGTGATAGTTCATAGGTATAATAACTTTGCCATATCAAGAAGACAGTATTTTCCAGATGTCTTCTATTGTATGGCTCATAATTTTTCTACCCATTCTGTGATGGCTTCTTAGACTCGATTGGTAGTGTTGTGATATAATTTATGACTGAGCCCTCCACTTCACTTATTTTCTACACTTTGGTTAATTGCAAGTTGCTGTAAAGCACCATCTATTGCAGAGAGAAGCTTCCGATATGAGGTGAGAAATGAACTAATATATGGGTATAATGTTTTTAGAAGGCAGTCATTTTATGCTATGCCAGTTTAACAGTAATAGTTGCAGCTTCCTCTATAGTGCCTGTATTTTCTTCATCTGTATGCCATGCATTAACTTAATCTATTTTAGTACTTTAAAAAGTAAATATTACCTATTTTTACAGGAATCTGCAGTAGCCTGAGATGATATCACAATCCCCTGCATTAGAGGTGTAGTGTAGAGCATGTTTTAGGAGAACTTGTGTTTTAGGAGAACTGCACTCTAGGGTCCTCTGTAAAAGCATAGTAGCATCTCATAAACACTGAGCAACTCTCTTCCTGTTTTCAGTTTTTAAAACTGTATCAAGTAAGCTAGGTGACTCCTGCCTTTTATTTCACCAATCAGGAGGCAGAGGCAGGTAGATCTATGGAAGCTCCAGGCTTCAGGCTGTGTAGAGAATGCTATGTAGAGAGACTGTCTCAGAAAGCTAATAAAAGAATTAACCAATTAAAAATATACAATTAAATTAGAAAGCTGTTGGCTATTCCCATAACATCTATGCCAACAAGCTGTATGTAATTAACATGGTTAAACAAGTGAGTATAGTTGGATACAGTATACACATATATATCCTAGCGTGGAATATCAGGGTCAATAAGGTTTATATACTTGTATAGAGATTTAATGGGAAATTCAATCCTATTTGGCATGTCTTCTGTAGTTTGTACTCTGACAGCACTGAATGACCCTTCCATACACAAAATTTGCCTGTTGTTTTCTCTTAGCAGTTGTGACAGAAGCATAATGAAATCCAAAGTGCTATCCCACCACACCATTTATTTTATATACAGTGTCCTGCTTGCATGTATCCCTGCAGGCCAGAGGAGGGCACCAGATCTCATAGATTGTTGTGAGCTACCATGGCATTGCTGGGAATTGAATTTAGGACCTCTGGAACAGCAGCCAGTGCTGTTAAACTTCTGAGTCATCTTGCCAGGCCTGCTAAACACTTAAAAGTTTTTTTTAAATTATTTCTGTTTCTTTTGAGAACTAAGGTAGTATCTAAAGCCTATTACTAACTGGATTGTTCTCACTTTTTAAATGTATACAAGTGTTTTACCTGCGTGTTTGTATAAATACTATATGCATTTAGTGCCCATGAATACCAGAAAAGATCATTGATTATCCTGGAACTGGAGTACATACATATAAGTTATTGTTATAAACTCCTGAGCAAATAGAATCATATTTGACAATCTTGAAAAGAGGATCCTTATGTGGGGCCATATTACATTAATTTTCAACCAGGTTTCCAGATTTCTTAGTGTGTTTGATGGTGTCATAGATGGCTAATGTCATCTGTATATCGGTTTTGGGTACTAAAAGTTTGCAAAAATGATTAACTCTAAGTTTTTTGGTGTAAACATTGGAATATATTCTACAGTAATGCAACATGTATAATCAGTTATCATTGACTTCTTTGTTTTTGTTTATTTCTCCTTTGTTTCTCCTTATTTCTGTTTTACTATCTTATCTTAATTATGTTGAATAAAAAGAAGATAGTGGGCAACCCTGTCTTGGTTCTCATTTATTGGGATTGCTTTGAGATTTTCTCTATTTAAGTATAGATTTCATTGTAAAATTGTTATAACCATTGTTTTGTGAAAGTTTGTTCTTTACAATATTTTTTATATATTCATGAGGCAATATTGAATTTTCTATGTATTTTGAAATGGTCATGTGACTTGTCTATCTCTACATATGAGATTTATTAGGTTCATTGATATGCGTATGCTAAACCAAACCTATAGCTTTATGATAAACACAAGCTTTATTGCATTGAGTTATGTTTTTGATATGTGTTTGTATTTGATTTGCATGTATTTGCAGGTATATGGTTCACATGTTTATTATAGATTTTGGTCTGTACTGTTTAATTTGTGTGTCTATGCTTGGTTTTGATATTAGAGTAATAATAACTTCACAGGAGGAGTTTGAATTGTGCCTTATATTTTTTTGATAATTTGAGTATGCTGCCATACCTGCCCAACAATTTATATTGGCTTCTAGGCATCCTAATCCCAGGTCTTATATTTGCAGGCAGGTACTTTCCAAGTTGAGCCATTCTTATCTTATATTCCCTTATATCTTGTGGTTAACAAACTCTCCCTCCACTCTTTCTCTCTTAATCTCTTTCTCTCTCTCTTCCTATATGTATATATGTATATGTGTGTATATATAAAACATATGTTTTATATATACACACATATACATATACGTACATACACATACACACATACATACACCTCTATATATTATGTATACTGTATGTATGTATGTATACTGTAATTTTTTTTTATATAGCCCTGCTTCTCTTGGGATTTTCTCTGAAGAGTAGGCTGGTTTTAAATTCAAGTCTGTCTGTCTCCTGAGTGTTTGGAATAAGGTGTATGCCATCACTGTACAGCTAATAAATTTTTAATAACACTTTGGATTAGAGGCATTCATACACACACACACACACACACACACACACATCATTATTCATGAGCTTTACTTCACTTGGAGAACACTGGTAGTTCTAAACATTGTGGCTGATTAATGATATGAAATAGTAAGATCATGCTGAGTTTGGTGATGCTTTCCATTAGTGTCAGCACAAAGGAGGAGAGGCAGTCAGATCTCTGTGAGGCCAGCCAGGTTTACTTCTTTGACTTTCAGAACAGCCAGGGCCAAAGAAATATCATGCTACGTTGAAGGACAGCTTGCTAGCCTTTGTTTGTTGAAGTATGTGCCAAAATTAAAAATTTGTTAGGTGAATTAATTGGGATAATTGAAGATAGGAAAGAAAAGCTATCAGAAGAGTTAAAAGTATTCATCATAGACTAACAGCTACATAAACTTCAGAGTAAGAAAAGTAGTTTTGAGAGTTTGACACAGCTAGGCCTAGTAGCAAATACCTTTAATCCTAGCAATTCAGGGACATGTAGATTTTATTTATTTATTTATTTTTGTTTTTGTTGTTGAGATAGGATTTCTCTATGTAACCTTTGCTGCCTTGGAACTTGCTGTGTATACCAGGATGGCCTTGAACTCATAGAGATCCTCCCACTTCGACCTCCTCCTTCATGTTGAGATTAAAGATATTTGCCACCACCTCCTAGCAAAATGTGAGGAGCTTTAAATGTGATAGTTTTATACATACAAATATTCTTCAAATTCCCCAAAACATAATATGAAGAATTCTGGTCTTAAACATTTGTTTTGATACATGTAACTAAGCTATCTTGTGTGGCAGCTTCTCTGTTTGTCTTGTTTGGAAATATTCAGAAGTTTTCCTATGTATTCCAGGCTAGCATTGAATTTCTAGACATCATCCTATCCTGCCTTACCTCTTCCAAGTTCTTATAGGCATTTAAACATACAAGTTTTTCTTGTTGTTGGTTAATTTTTTTGGTGAGATGAGGAAAGAAAGGCTTTATTTGTCTTACATATCCAGAGCCATAGGGATATGAGGGGGAGTACAAGACAGGATGTGATTTTATTTTAAATCAATAATTGGTTAACTTCTTGTAGTCAAGCTATTCAGGATTATGTAACGATTACAAATTCAAGGCTAATATTAATAGAGCAGTGTAGGAACTGAAATAAAATAGATTAATAGTAGATTTAAGGCTAGATTGGGCTTTTTAATAATACACCATTCCTCTAAAAAAATCAAGAACTTGTACTCTCACATCTTAACTTCACATTCTCATTTAAACTTTTGATTAAATATGGGCAGAGTGCCCTTGTAATCCTAATACATAGGAGGCTAAAGAAAAGCATTAAATTCTATGCTAGGCGGAAGTAAATATGAACAAATACTTGTGAAAATTTTATGCTTTAACATGCAGTCAGTCTCTAACAAAGGGCTATATTTCCAGGCCTTCATTGCTATTTACATTTACTCTTTTGATACTGAAAAAGTTCTCACTTTCTGTAAAACTGTTCCTGCCATACAACCACTGAATTGTTCCTCAGCGTTATGTATGCTTTTATTGTAACCATATGTCAGTTTTCAGCTTCTATAGTTTGTGCAATTCAATGACACACTCACTGGTTCATGGAGGAGGTTTATTCTTCGTGATCTTAAGAGGGGGCAAAAGTAGATTTTGAACTGAGGAGTAAATGAGATAGTGATAAATTTTGGTAACTGAAAAATGGGTGTTTTTGAAATATAGTGTTTTAAAAATGATTTTAATATTATAAAAATAAGTATTTAATATGAAGATGGTCAGAATAAGTGCTTTCCTTCCAAGCAAGAGGATCTAATTTTATAAGCACTTGTATAAATACCTGGTAATAATGTTTTGAGATGTCTCAGTGGATTCTGTAGAAGACTCCCTTTTGGTTTCTACCACTCACATGGAGGCTCACAACTACCTGTAACTTCTAACGGATTTAGAACCTGTAAGTTCTAAGGGATTTGATGATATCTTTTTTTTTTTTTACCTTGAGCACCAGGCACATGCATGATACAAAGATGTGTGCCGACCATACACACAGAATAAAACATAATTACATGCTGTGAATTGTAGTTGACATCTGTGAAAGCACTACTGAGTGCCAGAGACAGGTAGATTTCTCTAGCTTATAATATATATTGTGATCACATGTTATAAACAAAGGAAGGCAGCATTGCTATCTGGCCTATAAATGTATCCAGAAACATACCCAGGAACCTTTCCAAAACTGATGGACAATTGGTTTCATAGGTATGGTGGGTGACAGTAGTGTTAAAATGGAGGACTGGAACTGTTCATTGTTGGACGGACATGAGAGAGAACACGGATATTTATGAAGTTATACTGTTTGAAAATTGCTGAATTTTTTTTAAAACCATGAATTGAAGTACAAATGAAGTATGTTTTCCTCTGCAGGACCCATCCACTGCTTGTGAAACTTTGGTCAAGCTTACATTGTGTGTTAATAGCCTGCATCCAACCTTTATTTATAGCCCTCTCCCAAGTATTAAGGATCTTGAAAATTTAGTGTTGACAACGGCTATTGTGGAACAGCAATCATGGTAAGTTGTATATTTAAGAAAAAGGTTAGATAGCCGATTTAATGACCCCACATCATAGTTTCTCAAAGTATGGAGTTTTTTTAAGTGAAAAATACTAGAAATAAGGATTCCTACATAGAGAAGGATGCTCATTCTACTGCTTAACCTATTCCTATCCTATATAGGGTGGTCAAAAGCTTTGGAAAGAGTAACATGGAATGCATGCCTTATGTAATTTTTATTCAATGACTAAATCTTTTAAGGGACCAAGTTATAGATAGATGACTCTCTTGTCAAATTGAAGATCATAAACACAGACTACTGGGAAAGAACAGCTTTTGATTTAAATATCATAGAAGAAATACAGATGGATAAAGAGAGGTTGTCCTATAGATTACTGTGATTCTGAAAGCCAAGGACACAGATTTACAAAAGAAAAGATGCTATTCTCAGATTTAACTATTGTGACTCATGCCTAAAACCAGCATTTTGGTGTTGGAGGCAGAAAGAATAGGGGCTCATGGTCATCCTGTGTGTATGAAGTCCAGTATCACTCTTGTAACCCTGATCCTATTTAACAATTTTTAATAAGAGTGATGTGGATCTGATGGATCTGGATGCCTTTGGTGTGCTCATGGAGCACTGTAAGTTCATTGAGTTGCTATTCATAGCTTTTTAAGGTAATTTTCTATGTTTACAAAAAAAATTGAGAGGACCAGGTACTGTTAGAAGTTTATGTAATCTTGTAGAAGGAAAACTTGAACATTGAAATAGCAACTCTGAGGGAGAACTAAGTTGAAAGGATTTCAATTTATGAGTAAATTCTCTTAATCCTGCTAGATAAGATAATACTTTAAGGTTCTGAGAAGTGTCAAGATATTTAGTGATCCTAATTCAATTTGATATTTCAGTAATTAGAAAATATTTGAAAAAGAAACATGAAATAACATGGTTATGTAGGTAATGAATAAGCCAATGTTAGAAAACTGGGCTACAAATATACTTACCATTGATTTCTTAAAATTGGCAGACTGTGGGTAAGAGTAGCAAGATGCTGCAGCATATTGACTATAGAATGAGATGTATCCTGCAAGATGGAAGAATCTTCATTGGCACATTTAAGGCTTTCGACAAGCATATGAATTTGATTCTCTGTGATTGTGATGAGTTCAGGAAGATCAAGTAAGTCTGTTTTGGGTAATGGATGTGGAAGATAGATAGAGGGAAGATTTGAGCTAAAGTAATATTGCATAGAGTGACTATAGTGAAGATAGACACTTTGATGTGTCAATTTTTCTATCTTACCTGTTAGCCCTTTTTCAGGGTTCAGTCATATCCTTACATTGCATTATTGCCATTGCATGCATATCAGACTGGCAAAAATAAAAATCTGATGTCAATATTATTTGGTTATAATTTTTTATACATTTATCATTTTATTATAATTGAGGCTTCAGTTATGCCTATTTAAATAGGTCTTGTTATATAATCTATCAAAATTTTGCAAAAGAACGTCATTTTGCATATTTTTATAATATTCAGCAAGCATTCACAGGAAAATAATTTTACTATTTTTTACATGACTAAGTCTTCAGACTAAACAGGCAAATAAATCATTTACATGAGAAATTTTGCGTTGAATTTTAAATGAAATATTTGATAAGAATCACAAAATGATTTCACTAATGTTTATTTACTTCTGATTTATAGGCCAAAGAATGCAAAACAGCCAGAACGTGAAGAAAAAAGGGTTTTGGGTTTGGTCTTACTACGTGGGGAGAACCTGGTTTCCATGACTGTGGAGGGTCCACCTCCTAAAGATGTAAGGAAGATGTAGGACAGGACATGCATGGTTTTGACTTTAATTTTTAATTTATAAAAAGAGGGTTGATCTATAATGTGGAGGACATTTTGTTATTCAAATGTCTTATCAGTATACAGTAGAGGAACACAATAAAATATCTAGTATTTGCTCTAGCTAGAAGTTCCAAGTACTATATTGAACAGATAGGGAGAGAGTGGGTAGCCTTGTCTAGTCCCTGATTTTAATGGAATTGCTTCGGTTTCTCTCCATTTAGATTGATGTTGGCTACTGGTTTGCTGTATATTGCTTTTACTATATTTGGGCCTTGAATTCCTGATCTTTCCAAGACTTTTACCATGAAGGGATGTTGAATTTTGTCAAATGCCTTTTCAGCATTAATGAAGTGATTATATTGTTTTCTTGTTTGAAGTTGTTTATGTAGTGGATTACATTGATGGATTTCCGAATATTGAACCGTTCCTGCATCCCTAGGATGAAGCCTAATTCATCATGGTGAATGATCATTTTGATGTGTTCTTGGTTTCGGTTCTCTAGAATTTTATTGAGTATTTTTTCATCAGTGTTTGTAAGGGAAATTGTTCTGAAGTTCTCTTTGTTGGGTCTTTGTGTGGTTTAAGTATGAGAGTAGTTGTGGCTTCATAGAACAAATTAGGTAGTGTTCCTTCTGTTTCTACTTTGTGGAATAGAATAAAGAAAATTGGTTTTAGGTCTTCCTTGAAGGACTGATAGAATTCTGCACTAAAACTATCTGTTCCTGGGCTTTTTTTGGTGGGGAGACTTTTAATGACTGCTGCCGTTTCTTTAGGGGTTATGAGACGGGTTTATCTGATCCTCATTTAAATTTGGTATCTGGTATCTGTCTAGAAAATTGTCTATTTTATCCAGATTTTCCAGTTTTGTAGAGTATAGGCTTTTGTTGTAGGATCTGATGATTTTTTTAAATTTCCCCAGTTTCAGTATTTATGTCTCCCTTTTCAGTTCTGATTTTTTTTTTTTAAATTTGGATACTGTCTCTGTGCCCTCTGGTTAGTCTGGCTAAGGCTTTATCTATCCTGTTGATTTTCTCAAAGAACCAGCTCCTGGTTTTGTTGATTCTTTGTATAGTTCTTTTTGTTTCTACTTGGTTGATTTGAGCCCTGAGTTTGGTTATTGCCTGCCATATACTCCTTTTGGGTATAGTTGCTTTTTTTTTTTTTCTTGTTCTAGAGCTTTCAGGTGTGCTGTCAAGCTGGTAGTGTATGCTCTCTCAAGGTTCCTTTTGGAGGCATTTAGAGCTATGAATTTTCCTCTTAACACCTATTTCATTGTGTCCCATAAGTTTTGGTATGATGTGCCTTCATTTTCATTAAATTCCATTGCTCTAGCTGCATATATAGCAGAGGATGGCCTTGTTGGGCATCAATGGGAGGACATGCTTTTGGTCCTATGAAGGCTCAATGCCCCAGTGTAGGGGAATTCAACGGCAGGGAGGCCGGAGTGGGTGGGTGGGTTGGGAAATATTCTCATAGAAAAAGGGGAGGGGGCTGGGATAAGGGGTTTCTGGGGTACACTTGGAAAGGGGATACTATTTGAAATGTAAATAAAGAAAATTAAATTAAATACAATGTTTTAAGAATAGAAACAGTGTCTTGGCTTTAAATGCCTTGCATATTTGTTGGAATTTTATTTACAATCTCTAAGGGTTAATTCTGGAAAAAACATTAGTAACATTTTTCTTTATCCAATTTATTCTGCTTTAAAGCTCATTATTGTTTTCATAGTAGAACATTAATTTTATTATCAGTTCAAACAAAATGTACTAAGCCTCAATGGCTTTCTAAAGTAAAAGAGTTTTATATTTTGAATTATTCTCAAAGATTCCAGCCATTTCTTTCTATCATTTAAAGCAATAAATGCTTGCAAAATTATAATCATAAAATATCAAAATGTTTTAGCAGAAAAATCTGTAAAAAAAAAAAGAAATTATATCTAGTACTTAATACCAGTACTTGGTTCAGCTATATCTTTAGGAATTAAGGAGTTATTTATGATTATACCTACATACTGGATACTCTCTAAGTTATGGTATGGAATTGACTTCTCTCTTTTTATCTTCACATAACTCTGTTTTCACAGTTTTGGGGAATGACTGTCAATAATTATCAAACACATAATATAGTTTGTCCAATCATTGGACAAACTGAACTCCCACTTACATTTGCATGTTACTTTATGAAAGCACTAATGTTTAGCCTTGTACTTGTATACTTTATTTTTTCTGGTATATTAAGAAAGGGCATGTATTTTTACTCTTGATAGCAACATGCTACTTCTATTAGAAGGTAAAGTGAATACAAATCTATGAAGGACAGAAGTATAAATGAAATTTTATTGGGAAGAAGTTGTTCAGGATTTGACCTGTTTATGTTTATGCTATATTACAAGGTCTCTGTATATTTTCAAAATCTGAAGGATGTTGACGAGTATTTGTTATATTTTCCTATCACTTATTCATTTCTATATAAAGCAGTTGGAGCTAGGTGGGTTGTAAAGATGAGTTACAGAATTTGCCTTTCAATAAAATTGGTTTTGAGCAAATTGGACCTATTGTGTAAGTTATACATTTTTGTTTTAGACTGGCATTGCTCGTGTACCACTTGCTGGCGCTGCAGGTGGCCCTGGGGTTGGAAGAGCAGCTGGCAGAGGGGTACCAGCAGGTGTACCTATTCCCCAAGCACCTGCTGGATTAGCAGGCCCTGTCCGAGGAGTTGGAGGCCCATCCCAGCAGGTATGAATCAGAAATAAAATTTTCTATTGATGAGTAGAGCCTGGCAATGATGAAATGCAGAAACATGAAGATATATATATTATTTAAATTGTATATGTTCTAAAAAGATCTGATATTCAACTGTGTAAAAGGAAGAGACTCAATTAAGTTAAAAAATAAGATTCAGTTATATATGCTAGATTGAAAAAAATCACAAACTTAGAAAATGTTAATATGCTAAGATTTAAAAACATAAAACTAAAGCCAGATGGAGTAGTGCATGGCTTTGCTATCAGGATTCTGAAGGCTGAGGCAGTTAGATCTCAAGGAATTCTAGCATAGCTGGGAATACTAGATGGAAAGACCATTGTCTCAAAGAAAGAACAAACAACAAAAGAACAACCTACCGACAAAACATAAACCCACAAACAAAACAAAAGTTCCAGACTACTGGCTCAGTAGCTCTGCAGGAGTATTTACTTATTATGCATAAGTCCCTGGATTTATTCTTCATTAAGAAATAGAATAAGATAAGTACAAGACACAGCAATTTATACTAGAACATATTTACTATTAATTTTCTTCTTTTGGAGAAAGAGACCTCACTCACCTTTTGTCTTGACATAACTTCAGGTCATGACCCCACAGGGAAGAGGCACTGTTGCAGCTGCTGCTGTAGCTGCTACTGCTAGCATTGCAGGAGCCCCAACTCAGTATCCACCAGGACGGGGAACACCACCTCCACCCGTAGGCAGAGCAACTCCACCTCCAGGTAAGGACTTTATGATAAATAATAATGATTTGTCTTCTTAAGTGATTCTATAATCTTGAGGAAATATCTAAATACCGTGATTTAGATGAAATAAGGCATCATCTCATTGGCTTGCTAAGAATTTAGGAGACATTGAATTTCAGGACTACTTTAATTTATTACTTATCAATTGAAAATGGATGTGTTTTTTGTTTTTATTATTTGGTTTTTTGGTTTTTTTGGAGACAGGTTTTCTGTATAACTCTGACTGTCCAGGAACTATCTGTATATAAGGCTTGGCTTTAAACTCACGGAAAAATGTCTATCTCTGCCACCTGAGTGCTGCGATTAAAGGTGTGCACCACCATTGCCTGGTGAAAATAATTATCTTTCTAAATATATTCGGATGAAGATTTTTCCTCCCTACTTCTCCATTCACCTAAATTGGCACATTTTCCTTACTCTCAATTAGAATGCAAACCAGATTAGGCCAAAACAAACATAAACATGAGCTAAAGAATCTCCCCACACACACACAAAACACAACATACTAAGATGCATTCACTTTCACACATAGGAAGCCCATAAAATCAGGAAATGTAGTACTTGAGGCAATGGTAAAAATTAGTAGGTATTCAGACAAAAGATTATGAGACAAACTCCAAATATCCTATAGAGATAGTTTTGTTTGTCATCTACTGATAGGCATGGACTTCTCTTGAGGTAGGTTGATATATCCATTGGGATTTTAAAGTGGTTAGTTTAATGGGTAGGATGGGAGATTATGTTCACTTCCACTTTCCGTATAGGGACCCAGTATTACTTAGACAAGTGCAAGCTTGGTATAATAATACATGTTCATTAATCTTCTTGCTAGAAATCCCTGTTTCCATGGTGTCATCCATCTTTACAGACTCCTCTAGTCTCTTTCCTCCTCTTCAGTAGGGTTTCCTGAGGATTTAGGCCAAGTAATCAATCCTAGGTCTTTCTGTGCACCTTGTCTGCATGTGGGTCTCTGTATTTGTTTTCATCTATTGAAGGAAGCTTCTCTGATGATGGCATCACAAGTCAAGGATCTGTCAGTATGGCAGAATGTCATCAGTGCTACATTCCTTTAGCAGAGCAATAATATTTTGTTGTCTCCTATATTTGTGGCCAATCTAGTTTCAGATTCCTGGACATCTAAGGAGCGGTCTGACTGATTCCATCTCAAGGAGAGGAAATTAAACCAAGTCAGATAATGCTTACTCCTCTAAGCCATGTTACTTTTATCGATCATATATGGTTTTATGCTTCGTTAACATATTTGTAAATGACCTTCATTTCTCATTCTCAGTGTTGGCTCATTTCTTTAATCACTGTTTTGTGATAAATTGTAACAGCTTTACTGAGCTAACATGAAGTGTTTACTATTTTTTGTCAAAATTTCAGGCATTATGGCTCCTCCACCTGGTATGAGACCACCCATGGGCCCACCAATCGGCCTTCCCCCTGCTCGAGGGACACCTATAGGCATGCCCCCTCCAGGAATGAGACCCCCTCCACCAGGAATTAGAGGTTAGTGGTTATGTTACGACCTGGGAATGACATCCGGGTCCTTTAGTTTTAATATACTCTTCATAATATTAATGGACTTTTTTTTTCCTTTCTAGGCCCACCTCCCCCAGGAATGCGCCCACCAAGACCCTAAGATACAGTTGATAAATCTCAGCCCTTCTCTTTCCCTACAATGCTTCTTGTGAAATTGTGTAGCCTGCAAGCTTTTTGACCCCTCTTACTGCATTAATTATAGATAATAAATACATAGAGCAATTCAACTGGGGTTTTTCTTTGTCTGATTTTGTTAAAGCTAGAGTGAAACCAATTGTGGTTTGGTGGTAAAATTATTGTTAAAGATAACTAAATTAAATTTATATTAAGTAAACACAGACATGTGTAAACACAAACATGAAGTTTGCTCAAGTTAGCTTCTTAGGTTAAGATGGTAGAAATAGTTTCCTGACTCTGACATTCACTTCATGCATTGGTTTGAAACCTTACAGAAAAGAAAAAAATCAAGGTCGATTTGCTAAGATTCACAATGTGTCGTGCTTAAAGGTGTGTGGAGATATTTAATAATTAGATATTTAAATTCACATCAATTATGGCACTGTTATGTCATTATGGCTCATGAATTAAAACATGAAATACAAGGTATTTTCTAATCTTTCAAACATTATTTTCTAATCATTTAAACATGCTCTATTACTTAACAGTATAATTATGTTTACAAATATACATACATAGGCATTCTTTGCACACGCACACACATACACACACATATGCACACAAAGATGTTCACCATGTACTGGGTCCATTTTGTTTTTTGTTTGTATATTTGTTTCAGTTCAATACTTGACATTAAATAAATTATAAAATGTTGTCTCTGAAGAAGACTCATTCTCAGAAGTCAATGATGGTTCATATGTGTGGGGCCTTGTGAAATTTCCAGTATCCATGTCAGTATGTCTGCTGATGGTATTGTGCAGCTTCTGTCATGTCCAGAAGGAGTTGCCAATTAACCCTCCCTCCCACGTTCTGGAGGTGGGTAAGCAGGAGACTCTCAGATTTGGGTGTGAGTGATGACTGCATATTCGAAGAAAAATCTATGGTCTTTTTCCTGAACTAAAAGTGTCCCTTCAGAGCTGAGTTGTAAGATGAACATCATTTTTCTAGTGTAAGTACCATTTTGAACTATGTATTATAGACTATTAATAACATTTTTTTTCATAAAAATTTTTATAGGTTAGAAATTATGCATCAACATGCCATTCTATAAATATCCATGGAAGAAGTTTTGATACATGAAATTCTCCTAACCATTTAGACATATCATGGTCTCTTAGGGGAGTTGATTCAAGGTCTTATGTACCCTAGGCCGACCTCAAATTTCCCTTATGGGCAAATATGAATGTGCACTCTGATCCTTCTGCCTCAACATACTATGTTCTAATATTACAGATATTTCTTTCATGCCCTACTTCATTCTAATTCTAATATTTATATGAGCATGTGTCCAAAAACAATTTGATATTATCCTGACTCTGCCTCCCAAGAGCTGGGATTAAAGGTGTGTACCACTATTGCCCGGCTTAAGTTTCTTTAGCAGAGCATGAAGAAGTTTATTATACAAAGAATAAGACACACACACACACACACACACACACACACACACACACACACACACATTGAAAAGAACAATGAGTTTGGGTATGCAGGGTAGTTCTGCCCAGCATGTATGAAGGTGTGTTTAATGCCAAAAATACATAAACCAATTGTGTTGGTGCATTTTGGAAATGGAGGCAAGGAGATTAGTACAGTTTCAAGGCTGTACAATGAAACCCTGTCCAAACATCAGAATTTTGAAGATTACTTGAAAACTATAATTTTTAACTTTTGAGTCATTAATTATTATAGCTTTAGTTTTGAAAGATTGATTATGTATTGGAAACTGTTTTCCTAGAGATTATTATGTATATTAGGACATTGGGAGTGGAAAGTGAATTATAAAAGTTATAAGATACAATGAAATAATGAAATAATTGTCTAATAATTTTACAGACTTGCTTCTGTGATTTACTGATTTAAACAGATTCATACAGTTAAAAATTTGAAACTGCTTCTTAGTTCTTTTATCGCCTTTCAAAGAAGCTGTTTATTCTTTTTTATGCATGTCATCATAGTATATGAATTTTATAAAATGTATTAAAGCATGCTTTTTGTACAACAGTGTCCAATTCTGAAATATGGTATATCTGTGTTCATGTTATTTTACTCTCATGTGATATTCTTCTGTTAATTTAGTTCATGACTGAAGAAAGAAATTTTCAATGAATGTCAATGAATGTTGTGAAGTTTCATCACCTTGACTACCACCTGTAGTATTATACCAAAGCTGTAACTCCTAATAGCTGCAGTTTAAGACAAACATAACCCATCCAAGGTAATGTAATCTTTTGTTCAAAAATAAGAACATTTTACAGAGACCTTGACTAGATTTATGATGACCTAGGACCTTGTCTGAATATAGTGATTTTAAAAATTGAGCTTAGAGTGACTCTGAAATCTAGTCAATGTGCCTCACTATATATTACATTGCTTATTATTCACAATAGAAAATTTTCTTAGATGTACATAGTGGAACATACTTGTAACTACAGCACTTGGGATGCTGTGATTGTTAAGTTTCCAGGCCCATTAGTTCCTCAACCTAGGACTGACCTTAATACTTGCATGTAATTAAAATGGTATAAAAACAAAAAGGAGGAGGGAGGATGAGATAGGGGGTTTCTAGGGAGGGGAAATGGGAAAAGACAATGGCATCTGAAATGTAAATAAATATCCAATAAAAAAATGAAAATGAGAGCAAATAATCATGTTTGCAGTGAGAACATTGCATACTCAGAACAGGAAAATTGAGTGTTGCAATTTTCTATTTTCTCTAATATCTTTTATATAGATATTAAAGTAATTTGTGTTTTTTTTCATTTTGTATTTGTTGAAAGAAAAAATGAAATGTCCTTGGATCACAAAAGGCCTGGTAACATGGATACTTATAAAATGGAGTTCCCAATTCATGAAAAGAAAATGGAAAACACCTTTCTAGATTTGTGAGTTATATCTTATCGGGAGGAAAGGGTAATGTTTATGGAGCATGTACATTGTGGAATGTGGTGAGTATGTCAGGAACCTGTTCTTTAAGTGGCTATATTTGATGAAAAGTTGTCACTGTAGAATTATTAAGTGAATAAATGTAGCAGTTCTTTATTATGTTAGAATTTTTTTACTTTAGAAAATAAGTTTTAGGTATTATGTACATTTTTGGTAACTAAAAACCCATGACTAATTGGTAGCTGCACCCATATTCTGATTGATTATTTAACTGGCCATTTTTACAGTGTTTAAATATTTGCCTGTCTTTGTAGTGTTATTTTTTTTACCATGTCATTGACATTTGCAGTGTATTGGTAGGAATGTTTTAGATATCTTTGGTTAAAAGGTAAAACACAAATGCCATTATTGAAGTGGAAAGCCTTTACTGGGTGAAATGTGATATTTTTACTTAAAAGAGTAACGTGGGAACTAGGATCTATTTTCTATTGCCCATGGATCTATCTGATAAGCAAAGTGAGTTAATTAGGGAGTTTTAGAGAGCCAACTGCTAAGATGTTTAAAAGGTAGTTAAAAAGCAAAAAGACGAATGATTCTTGTGATTAAACTCAGGTTGTCAGTTAGGGGAGTATGTATCTTCCTGTAGAACAGCCATATTAATAAATTAGTGGACTGTTGCTGTTGGAATATCTGTGGTAGTTTAAAAATGACTGAAAATTACAGAGGGCTCAATCATTATTCATATTCATATATAGCTCACTTATATCTTTTGAAACAGTGATTTGTTAAGAGCACATTTAAAAGTGTTTTAATCAACAAAATGTTCAATTAGACATATGGATGGGCAATGACTCACTTTGAAGGTGGGAAAAATACCACAATGTAGATTGTTTGCTTTGTTACATTGGCTATAATTTTATGCTGAGGATTGAACCCTAGGACATAGTTTCTTTCTTAGTGTCAAACTGACTGGGAAAGCTGTGTGTATTTTTCTGTTTTGTATTGTATGTGTTTGTTGTTGCTGTTTTCTTTGTTTTGTATTTGTTTTGAGACTGGGTCTCATTATGTAATTCAGTCACACTGGCATATAATTTACAATATTGCTGCCTTGGCATTGCAAGTGCTCATTCTATTCATTCATTCATTCATTTATTCATTCATTCATTCACTCACTCATTCATTAGTGTGTGTCTGTGTGACCTGCCCCGGGCCTACTATAAGGAAGGATACCTATGTACCTTATTGGACCAGTAACTGCATACTTAGCCAGGCCAGGCTATATTATTTTTAGGCTGTTAATCTTACCCATACTTTTATGTGAAGCAATAGCCCTGTTATGGAAATGTTTGGTAAAGTTTTGAGGTTTTTATCTAACACAGGCCCCTTAAGCTCATGTTCTTACCAGGTAACCATGTACTATATTCCATTTTTACAGTTTATAAGTACCTTCTGGAGGACCTTGGCTGGATTTATGATGAGCTGTGTTTACTGAGCATGATGAAATGACTCTCAAAATGATTACTCTGAAGTCTAGCCAAAGTGTCAGTTTAAGGACTTAGGTACAAAACTTAAGTTCTTGGAATATGATACAGTATTTTTTTCAAGGAGACTGGAGCTGTAGATTTTTCCAATAGAGCAAAATTCATTTGAAACCTATTTCATTTTATTTTTATAAAGTGCCTGTGTGTTAGTAGCACAATAGCTTTCACCTTCATTTCCTTATAATAAATTGTAGAAATAAAGAACTTGTAAGTTAGTGTATATCCCAAATATCCAATATGTACCCCATATGAGAGTTCCCTGACCATGTTCCTAGTCATTTTGACTGTATTGTTACTAATACATTCATTTTTTTATAAGATAGAACTTTTTACATTTTTCCCAAATGCTCAGGATAATTCAGAGAGGATAATTATTTTACTATTTTACTATCATAAAGTATTGATGGAATAGTGACTCCGTGATTGAAAATATTGAATATGAGAAATAATTGGTAAATATTATTTAAATATTTGGTGGTGAGATTGCTCATTATTCCTATTTTCAGACACTTGGTCAGGCCATGTCAGAATAATCATCTGCATACCAATTTGATTTTGTTCCTCTGAGGTGTGAGTTTCCCTGAGCTTTGTATATTAGCTACTGCTATAGTGATTGTGTGTTGTGATTGCTTCTGCCTTTGTAATATTACTTCTGAATCTTTGCATATAAGCATGCATATACAACAGATATTTTTCCTATATAATTTTAAAACAATTCTAAATCTATGAGTTATGATATAACTTCATTTGAAATATATGATAACTTTGTTGGTATAATTAAATTAACATGTGAAATGATGATTATGATATCTTACATTATTCAGAGTCAAACTAGAAAGATAATTTTATTGGACTTTACTTTTTGTTTAATTAGTGAAAATCAGTTAGATTTTTACCTGTGTGTTCTGTTAAGGTGTTTTCAATTGAGTGCTCTTATAAAATACGTAATCACAAAGGAAATTTCTATAATGCACTTGGGAAAGTGTTTTTACAAAAATTATGAAGGACACATCAATGTTAGATTCATGTTTTAGGAGTTAAGGATAGTGTTAAACAAGGGTGTAAGTAATGTGGATTAAATATAAGTAGAAAAGAGTCATTATTTTTAAGTACATTTGAGATGACATTTCATTCAGTTTTATGGTTTGGGATTTTCTTGATCTGTAGAAATAATAGAAAGGTAGAATTTCCATAGTATAGATTATAATCTTCATTGGTTAATGTGGCTTTCCTTTCAAGGAACAGTTTTCTTTTACTGTAGTTACTATGGAATTTGTTCATTATGCTTTATAAATAGCACTATTGGTTATTATTAATCAGAGAATCTTATGCTAATTTATATAAGAGAAGATTTTCTTTCTCATGGTATAATTATGAAGGGCATCCTGTTGTGATATCTAGGGTTAAATAGTGTAACATTGATCTACATACTCAATAGTGTACCATGTTAATTTAATCTTGTGAAGATTATGTTTTGTTAGATATTTGGAGATATTGAAATTCCTAGACAAACAAATTAGAAAACTAAAAGAATGCTTGTTTAAGAATATCTAGATTTCTGTTTTATGGCTAGTTAAGAGAATCTATGACATAAGAACATTTGAAATAGATGACCTGTGTGATAACTTTCACCTAGTTTTACTCCAATGAGAAGTTATTAAATATTTTATGGGTGAATTCAATATTAACACACCACATCCTTAATATGCTAATGCATATCTAAAAAAGAACAGCATTTAAATTGAATAAGTAATTTTGGGTCACACTTTATATTTTGAGATTTGTTTTATATACAAATATAGTTATTTGTATCACAGAAAAATTTTCATATTTTAAATTAAATTGGACACTGAGATAAAAGATTACAACTATGGTCAACAGACTATATTATATGGACTCTTAGGTTGTATGATACAGCAATAATTTCCTATCATTAATGGTTACTTAGGAACTGCTAAGCAGAGGAAAAAAATTATTTTTTAAGTTGGAATTGCTGGATCATACATTGAAATTGCAAATTTAGTCAAGCCTATTTATCAGTCTAACTCTCAGCTTGCTTCTGCCTGTATTTAATTTTTAAAATCTGACCCAACAGCATTTGACAACTGAAAAAATAAAAATTCCTACCTTTGTAGAAACAAAAGTACCTTCAACTAATGTAACCACATGGCTTTACTCTTATATGTTTAATAAGTCTTTTAATAATAGAGTATCAACTTATTTTGTACTTAATTTATGTGATAAAATTTACTTGGCCTTGGTATTGTTTTATTTTGATACAGGTACTTTTGCCCATAGGCAGAATTTCTGAATATGTTTTATTTAAAATTTAAGATAAATGCTTTTATGAGGTAAAATACCTTCTACTAAGCCTCAGTATAATGTTTCAACTGTATGTAGTGTCATTGTTTAAAAAACTTACCTAATAGACACATTATTTCTTGTGTTTATGGATAGCTCTGTTTAAAACAGTTGGCCAGGAATAATTCAGGTTTTTAAGTGTTCTGTACAAAAAGACAAGTTTATATTTGCTGTTAAATGTTACTTGACTTTTATGTATGATTGCGTTGGTGTGATAGTAAAAGCTGAATTACATGAGCATTGTTAAAATACCTCTTCTAGCATATATATATATATATATATATATATATATATATATATATGGTCTGAAGATTCATTTTATTTTTCTAATCACTAAAATATGTGTTGTAATTTATTCCAAGTTATCATGTTATATCAGAATAACATGCTTTGTAGTCATCTGACACATGGCTAAAATGACACTTTCTAAGTGAGATTTTTATACCAAGCATTTAGTAATTGTAGAGTTATTAAGACTCATAATTTTTAAATTTATGAATATTCTGCAAACACTATTGTCTCTTACAATTAAGATGACACATTGAGAGTTTATAAAAGGGGATCATGGTGCTCAGAATATTTTATATTTGTTGGAATCCCAGAGGAGTAATTTATAAACACTATATATTTTATTCTTTTCCCAGAACAGTTGACTATTTTGTCATTTGAGTTGCACATTTCAAAAAGAAAAAAAGACATGATGTGTATTCAGTTGGCTTTCTGAGAGTTAATGAGGCCACTGATTCAAACTATTTTAAAAAAATTTTAATTAACATTCATGAAGATTTTGTACTACCTCTTGGAACACTACAAAATTTTGCATGTGTTCCTTTGTTGCATGACAATATTCAAGACAACTTTGTAAATAATAGTCAAATACAAAATTTTTACATCTAGTCTTTCTAGATGTATAGAGTGTCACAGGGTATATTTTGTAAATGCATCATTGTAAACTTTCATGCTTTTTAAATTTTTTGAGTGTGATTTTCAACATTTGTCTTGTTACTTGTTAATAAATAACATAGAGGATGAGAAAGAGTAAGTTCAACATTGGCTACTCATCTGGAAAAATTTCATTATCCTTAGTGTAAGGCTTACATTGGACACACATAACTGTTAATGATGTCATATGTTATAGTTCTGTGATGTAGTAATGAAAGGCCATTATCTAAATATTTCTATTTAGGCGTTATAGAAATATCTCTTGGAAGAATTTCTTCTACATTTGTGAGTACGTTAATTACAGTATTATATTTACATTGCATGACAGCACTCAAGACATGCTGTAAATATACATATATTTATGTTAGTCTAAAAAATCCATTTGTATAGATACAGTCTTAACAAAATATAACCTTGTAAATATTTTATTGTAACCTAACATTAATTAAATTATACCAGTAAATTTTTTTTTACAATGGAAATAGATAAAACTACTATCGAGTATTAAATATAAAACTGTTTATGAATAGTTTCTCATTTAGAGAAGAATAAGCCAGTTTGTGTATACTGTTTACATGACGCAAAATTATAGGATAAAAATAAGGTGCTTTTTATCTCCAAGATGATGAACTGTGAAATAGTATTTGTAAATTGTAAATTAGTTAGAAAATTTTAAAAATCATTGCTACTTGATAAGTTACCTTTGGCACATTTATTTTCTTTTTATCTACAATGATTGCATTCATATTTAATTTATAATAGTATATAGATTACAAATTTTTTAATTATATCTATATTGTGGATTTTGATTTGTATTCCTGATTTGCAGATTATAAAGTTAGTATTTTATTTATAATTCAGTTAATTCTTCAATCTCAATGTTATGAATAAATTCAATTTGTGTTAAATATAAATGTTTTTATGTATTTATATATTATTTATGCAATTTAAAAATTTTGTATATATTTTACATCTAGTATTATTAAAGGTAAATATCTAGTGTACTGTAAGAAAAAGCCTGTATCATATGAAAGGCAATCAGTAGAAATTAAAATCAGAGTCAGGATTAATGAGTAACATTTATCTCAGTACCTTCCAAGATTATACACATCTCCGTACTCAGTTTGAGGACAGCCTGGGCTCATTAGGCCTTCTGTTTAAAGAAAGCATGAAAACAAAGAAAAACTGAATACCTCCCTAAAACACAAAAGGAATTGTAAGAAGATATGTATATATATTTGCAATTTTACAGTTATCCTAAAATTTCATCGTTTGTGATTCTCAAATGTAATTTGATTTTTTTTTGTTGTTGTTGGGTAGTAAAGATAGCCAAATACCAGATCTACAAAAGGAGTAAGGATTGTAGATTAAGATGAAGGCAATTTAACAGTGAAATACTATGTAGAAGTGGTTATTATAAGTTGATAAAAGGAACAAGTTGCCTTATTATAGACATATTTTAATTCATACTAAAATAGATAGTTAAGAAATTCCTGATTATGTATATGTTGTGTTGTTCAGGAAGTTAATACTTTTAATCATAATGTGTTATTTTACAGTAATATTTGAAGATTTGTGCAAGTGAATTAAAGTAAACTATACATGCTTGGAAATTGCCACATGAGACCACCTAGAATGAACAGTTTATGCAAACAGAAAACATGTTCAGGAAGAATGTAAAATTTTAACACTTGTAAATAGAAAGAAGTAAGATGACATTTGCCGCCTGCCTTTGTACTTTATGAGGGTATTTGCAAATAAATATCAAAACAAGAAGAAAATATTAAAATGACAATTTGTGCCATTGCCTTTGTCAACATGTGGTAGTGCTGGATTGCCTATCCAACTCTGTATTCCTAGCAGCCTTTATGGATTTTCAAACACTTCAGAGTCTTACTCATCAGCAAAGGGTAGTGCATTAACTAATGGAAATGAGAAGATATAATTTCTGGTAAGTATTAAACTGATTTCATTTTATTGATACATTTATGTGTGAAATACAGTGTTTTAGCTAGGGTTTAGTGCTGTGAAGAGACACCATGAACATGGAAATTTTTATGAAGGAGAATAATTGGTGATGTCTTACAGTTTCAGAGAATTAGTTCATTTTGTTATAGCAAGTATCAGTAATAGTAGCAGATATGGTGTTCGAGGAGCTGAGAATTCTACATATTGATCAATATGCAGAAAGGAAACTATGTGCCACGCTGGGCAGAGTTTCAGTATAGGATAGTTCAAAACCTGCCCCCACTAAAGGCCACATTTTCAAACAGGCCACACTTCCTAATTATGTCACTCCATACATTCTAATTTTCTGAGTTAAAAAAATTAAATTTTTTTCAGTGAGCCAAGTGTTCTATGAAGAAGCTACAACTAAAGTTTGAATCGGTTTATTATATAAATTTTTGAAAGGTATGGTAGACTATCATCAAATACCCTATATAGTTGAGGATTAACCCTTGTCTACCAATCTCATACTCGAGGACTAGAGACATACATCCTCATTATTAAACTGTGCAGTTGCAGGAATTGAAGCATCTGTTCATTCCTGAAAAGTACCACCTAACAATATTTTCAGACCTTTCATCTTAATAAAATAATGATTGACTACATGTATACATGTGATTCTTTAGTTAATTGTCTTACATATTCCAATAGTTATTTTACTTGTTCCTTAGTAAAAAGAAATGCATTAACAGGCCTGGAGAGATCGCTCAGTGGTTAAGATCATTAACTGTTCTCCCTAAGGACCTGAGTTCAATATACAGCAAACACTGGGTGGCTTGCAACAATCTGTAATGGGATCTGATGCCCTCTTCTGATAGTGTCTCAAAACAGCCATAGTGTACTCACAAACATAAAAGAAAATCTTAAAAAAAACAAAATAAATAAATCAAATACTAAATTAACAATATTTTAGAGATAGTACTTAGGGAGTACTGCTTATGCAAAGTCTTCAAGTTTAGTTTTTAGCATCCATGCATGGTAACTCATGGTATCATATATGCACAAGGAAAGACATAATTAAAATAATAAAAATACATATTTAAAAATGCTACCCAAGCAATGTAAGTATTTATTTGGGTTCAAAGTGAAATAGACATTCCATAATTTTAGGGGAGAGCATGGCAGCAGGAGCATGATGCTGGTAGTCACTTTATATCCTTAGCCAGAAGTCAGAGAATGATCTTATAGGGATAATAATTGGGGAAAATAGGTTCAAGATGTATAATTGTATATTGTATAATTTTATCTTGAAAGTCTTTTGTTTTTGTCAAAGTTGCAAGGATAATGACTGTATACAATGAAAATTAAAATAACTAAAAAAAGAGAAAACTGACAGCCCAAATCAGAAGAATACTACAATACAAATTATATGTATAAGTAAAGTTCTTTTGACTAAATGAGATAATAACCTCATGTCATTTAAGAATAAGAAATAAATATTATTTATAATAAAAAAAGTATAAATGGTACTTTTTGATAATGAACTAATAGCTCTGACTTTCTTCCTGTGTCCTCTCAGGTGGTTACCAAGTTGGATAGATATTGGTTCTACCAGCCATTATAATGATCTGAAAGGTTGAAGAAGGTGTTGCATGAACACTCCTGTGAATCACTGTAATAGAACTCTACTAATTGGATAAAGACTGGAATGTTGATTTGAAGACAATTACTTTATAAAGATTCCCTCATTGCCACTGTTGCATTAACTCAAGAAGTAGAGACGCTACTATGTGGATAACAATTGTATGACTGGATTGTCATTGCCATCAACTTATTGTTTTCATAAGTATGAAGTATGTTTCATGATATTTTTTAAATTAATAATAGGGATTTTTAGTTGATTTTTCTTTTTCTCAAAGGGTTTAAGTAATGTGTAGCATAGTCTGACTCGAGTGGTGACATTACAGAAATATACCAAGTACAGTTAGAACAGTATTGGATGGAGCTATAGTGCATCCCAAAGTTTTATTGGATTTTATTCATAAATACTTGTTATAGCTGTAGCTTTTAATGGCTTGAGATAATAACTTTACAGTTATGTGTCAAAGTTATTTTAATTTGAAATACATTGACTAGATATATCAAGTCTACATTTGATCAAATGCCTTAGCAGGATTAATGAATTTGGCCATTAAAATGACAGGAATTTTAGTCAGCAGTACTCTCATATATTTATGTATTTATGCATTTATTTATGTATTTATTAAAGCATCATGCTACTCACTTTTGTTCATTGTTTATAAGTGCGTTTGTAAATGAGTCTGTAATCAGGTCATCATGCATGTTAGATGGAATACTATGTGTTTTCTATTCACTCTGTTTTATTACTAATTTGTACATAAATTATTCATTAAATACAAAATGTTCTTTCTCATACCATACTTCTGTGTTTTTATTTTTCAAGCATCATTTTGTTCATATCATACATATTTGTGTTATCTCCAGTTTTTCATCAGACTTTTCCATCTTTTTTATTTCTCATTAATGTGCTAGAATATTTAATAATGCATATTTTAATAATAATGTTACTTCTCAATCTTAAACATGTTAGAAAACAAACATAATTTGCTTTATGACTGTTTTCTCTCCTCTTTGCTTGTTAATTACTTATTTATACTATCTTACCTGTTCTATTTAGTTCAGACTCTTTTCTCTTATTTTTCAGAATATTCACTGTATGTAGTCAATTATTTTTCCTCAGAGTTGATGCTTATAAATACTTTTCAAGTTGGAAAAATACACTTTTACTTTTACTTGCCTCATACTTAATAGATTAGAGAATATATTGCTTTAAATTGAGTCTTCATACAACCTCAAGGTATGTCTTTCTGTTTGTAACTAAATGTTTTCTTAACTATGCATTCCAAATATTTCACTATTATGTCTGATAACATCAAGTCAGTATTTTGGTATATGTAAATCACTTCCATGTCTTTATCCAATAGTCTCCATTGAATTTTTAAAGGGATAAAATTCTTATATCATTTGATCATGAATAAATGGATTTGGAATTATTTCTAGATTATAGAAGCATGATGTACTGTTAGATTCTCTTATTTTTAATCCATACTTTTCTGCAAAGTCAGTATTTGTTTAAATGCTTTTAGATTTAAACTCTCTTGTTTATAATATAACCTGGACCACATTACGATCTAGTTCAGGCTGGACTTGAAATTTCAGGAATCCATCTTCTCAGCACCTCCCTCAAATAAGAGTTAAGATTTCTGAGTTGAGTATTTTTCAGTTTTATTATTTGGGCTAGATAGATATCCAAGCAATTCAGAGTACCTACTACTTGTGCAGAGTAAGTTCCATTCCTGGCACCTACTTTATAGGCTCTACACTTGCCTGAAACTACAGCTACAGTTACAAGCTACAGCAACTACCTCTCCTTTCTGGGAACTTAGACTCATGTTCACATCCTACCCACAAGCACATAGTAGCAATGTTTAAAAGTAACCTCCCTTTTAAAAACAAGTCTGAATTCCTAAGCAGCTGCATTTTTGTATGTTTCTATTTTATAATATTTCCGTGTATTTTTTCTGAGACCATTTAAATGTCATAGTTTGTTTAACTAGATTATAGCCTGTTAAACTTAAGTCTATAGTGGTATATACTTATAGTCTCTATTTGACCATTAGATAAGACTATTAGTATTTTGATGCCAGACTGGATGAAGGTCTCTCCCAAAATTGAGTAGCAAACTTAAAAGATTAAAGTAATTTTGTAAAAAATCATCATGCTTAACATTGTTTACCTAAGTTCAGAAATTAATATTGATATATCAAGTATTAACTAATACACAAGCCTTATTCATATTTATGAGCCTTATACAATTTTTATTATTATAGTAATGACTTTTAATGATTATAATCATATTTAACACACATGTACCAAAAATAGTAAAATAATTATGTCATTCTTAACATTTTTTTAAAATACATTGTATATGATTTTTCCATAAAATTTAATTTTAAATTATTTGTAAAAAAAAAAATTTGGGATCTATACTTTGGGAATATATGAATATTCCTCATTTTAAAAATATGTACTTTTATCATGCTCTCCTAATTTGAGAGTTCTTTTGTTTTTATTCTTTTGGTCTATTGATTTCTGTTAATGTTCCTGTTTTTTTTAACATGAGTAAGGCTACGTTATTGTATCACTTCTTTTTCCTAGCAAACATTGATTGCCTGTATATTCCCAAGAAGTGTATAGTTATATGAAACACACCCCATAAATAGTGGAACATAGATTTATCCTTTACAGTTATACATCTATGGGTACTGCAAAGCCATTTGTACAGATGCCATTTCATGTCCTGATGACAGCATTTGTCAGCTCTTTGCCATACTTGAACTCTTGAAGTTTGAAACTTCCCTTTCTTTTTTTTAATGCCTCTGATACTTCTGTGCATTAAAAAACTACTTGCTCAAAGACTTTTGAGCATTTGCTTATGGCTCAGTATTGAGTGCTGATGCTAATAAGTTTTTTCTCTTACACAAAATAAAATTCAGAATCAATTGTTTAACTTAAGTCTCATTCCATATTTGTGCTATGTGGCTCATTGTACCTGGAAGTCTGATTTGTTGCTTTCTGTGTTCATAGCTATGAGCCCATGAATGAGTTTTTACTACATAACACTTTCCATCCCAAATAATGCTGGCCACTATCCATGAAAGTTTATCTCAGTTTCTGCATGTTCAATATATATGTTCTATACCAAAAATATGTTGTACAATCTTCAGCATGACATTAACTAATTTTGAGTGACAAATAAGAGCAATGGCAAGGGTCTGTTTGATTTTGATTTGGTTGCCTTGGGGGAGTCTCACTGATACCAATATACAAGTATTTTACATCAGGCCCTAGGTTTTTTTAAAAATATATGGCTTCTGGAATCACCATTTCTCACATGTCAGTATACATAAAAACACTTCTGAAAAATCTGTAATTCTAAAAAATCTATGACATGTTCTCTCCTTCAATAATAGAACCATTCTAACTTTCCTTATTTTCAGTTAAACTCAAATTAAAAGTTCAAACTGTGATATTAATAGGAAATAGAAAACAAATAATTTGTATTCCTAGACCTTAGATTCACCTCATTCTACAGTTTCTACCATTGAGAAGTAAATTTCAATTGTTTTATTTGTTAAAATGTACTATTTTGACTATCAGATGGAATCTTGTTGTAGATCAATTTTCTAGCTAGTGTTAATAGAGCATCAATGCACATGAATGAAGTTATATCTCCAGTAGTAAATTGTGTAGATTCTCAGGAAGAATGATGTTAGTTTTTGAACAGATTTTCATTTTTTTTAACATTGTAAAGCATTTATTTGCATTTAAAAATAAAACAAAAACCTCATTGTCAAACATTTTGAATTTCACTGAGAAATACAATCTCTTCAGTCATTTCATACATAGTTAATCAACAGTAAAACTTTAGTCTATTAACAATTAAATGTCCACAGTGGCCTAGCACTAAAGTGGCAACCCAAAAAACTTTAGGCCTTTTGTTCTGTTTTGTTTTGGATTTGTCTGGTTGGTTAATTGGTTGGTTGGTTGGTTGGTTTGGTTTATTGCTAGTCTGTAGAAGACACTGATCTAGTTTTTAAAAGATTCTAACAATTCTTTTAAAAAAAATCAGATACCTGAACTATACTGCCTGTCTTTGCAGGAGCCACACATCCAATACTCAACGCTGTCCTAAAACTGCAGTGCTAAAACTCTGTGTGGTGGTTTGAATGAGAATGCCCCCAGAGGCTTACATATTTGAATGCTTGGCTCCTAGCTGGTTGAACTATTTGAAAAGTAATAAGAGGTGTGGCCTTGCTGGAGGAGGTATATTATTGGGGAGGAAGCTTTAAGGTTTCAAAAGTATACCCTGTCTTTCTCTCCCTCTGCCTTGTGGATAAGATATGAGCTCTCAACTACTGCTATAGACTATGCCTTGGCTTGGCCATGATACCATGGCTTTCTGTCACGATGGTCATGTTAACAATGGCCACAGCATCAAGATTTTCATTTTTGAGGGAAGTTCTGCACCAATTTCCTTCATTTCTGAATCAGATTACCTCTTAACGCTGTTTACCCTAACTTATCACCTTTCAATTATTTGTGTTTACACTAGGAACCATTTTAATGGTGTTAAGTTTGAAGGTTAAAGTAGTTCAATTTTCATTTTTCTAAAGTCTGGGTATTGAACCCCTTTAAAAACAAACCTCAGTCTCCTTCCAAATTTTCCATATGATCATTTTTTTTTAAATGTTTGTGGTAGCCTGGGTACCCCTTTGCACAACAACTCAAGTATATGTAACAATCCCAGTAATGGAAGCTTCATTTAATTATAAGAGATTGCCAGTTGGGTCTCTGTCTCCATTATTTGGTGACTTCAATTAGATTATATCTCCAATCTCTGTACTGGAATTCTACATTTGGTGATCAGAGATGTCCAGTTCGGAATCGTTCTCTTCTGTTCTTTGGTGATTTCATTAAGATTCTGTTCATATATTTTCTGTGAGGGATTGTGCTAAAATTTTATTGGGGATTTTATTGATTTTGGCAAAATAGTCATTTAATCCTAATGATCGATAGACATAGATAAGATAACTAAGATATGATATCTTAGTTGGTTAGAGTTAACTCAATATATGTTTATAGAGATTTCTGTGTAAGGAATTGTTTTCTTTGTTTTTTTTCCTCAGTCCACTTGCAATTTGTATATAGAATTGTATGTATTATTTTTCCTGCTTTCAAGTAACCAGCATCATAAAGAGAACTGGGCAGTGTTCTTTTGTATCTATTTTATGAAATAATGTAAGGAATATTCACTTAACTTGGTTTTGAAATTCTGGTGGAATTCTGTACTAACACCCTCTGGCACATTTTTGTTGAGAGTTTTAATGACAGCTTCTTTTTCACTAGTGTGTATAGATCTGCTTAAATTGCTTATTTGTAATTGTTTTAACTTTGATAGGTTGTATGAATTTAGAAAATTATGCATTTCATTCAGATTTTTTTATTTTGGTAGAGTATATATTTTTAAAGTAAGCCCTTATAATTCTTTGGGTTTCTCTGCTGCCTTTTCTTTTGTCCCCTCTTACTTTCTAATATTGTTAATTTGGATTTTTTTTTCTTCAACTTTTAGTTAAATTGTATAAGGGCATTCTTTGTGAATTTTTTTAAAATACCAAGTGTTTCATTCTTTGTGTTTCTGATGTTTTTGTTGCCTCCTTTGGGGTAATAGTGCTTTTTGATCTAGAACAGTGGTTTCAAGTCCATTCTTATAGTTTGTGGCTTTTTGTTGGTGCTTTGAGTCCATTATCACTGAGCTGTGTTGCTTGATTCCTGTTATTTTGTTTTTGTGGTTTAAGCT